AGAATCCCTTGCAGGTATCTCTATTGTAGGTTGACTTTATCCCTTTGGATACATCCCCAGGAGTGGTTGATCATATGGTCATTCCATTTTTAGGATCCTTCATCCTGATTTCCATAGTAACTAACCTAATTTACCTTCCCATACACAGTGTATAGTGGTTCTTATGCCCACATTCTGGACAGTATTTAGTGTGGCTGGTTTTCTCATTAATGGTCATATTCACTGGGGTGAGATTTACTCTCTGTATAGTTTTGCTTTTGTTTTTGTTTTTTGTTTTGTCAGTGATGGAGCTTGAACTCTGAGCCTGATTGCTGTCGCTCATCATTTCAGCTCAAGGCCAGCACTCTACCACTTGAGCTACAGAGCCACTTCCGGTTTTCTGTGGTTTTATTGGAGATAAGAATTTCATGGACTTTCCTGCCCAGGCTGGCTGTGAACTGCAATCCTCAAATCTCAGCCTGCTGAGTAGCTAGGATTACAGGTGTGAACCATCAGCACCCAGCTCTCCGTGTAATTTTGATTTGTAATTTCCTTTATATGTTGAACATTTTCAAGTATTTCTTAGTCATTTATATTTCTTCTTTTGAGAACTGTGTCCAATTTATTTGCCAGCTTTTTGATTGGCTTATTTGCTCTCTTAGTGTTTGCTTTTTTATAGGCTGTATATATTCTGAATATTTTGTATATATGTGTCTATCAATACCAGGGATGGAACTCAAGCCCTAATGCTCCTGCTTAGCTTTCTTGCTCACATTTTTCAGTTTACCACTTGTGCCATACCTCTAAGTCCAACCTTTCGCTTCTTTGTTGAAGATAGCTTCCTAGACTCTTCCACCTTGTTTGGCTTCAAGCTAAGTCTACAAATCTCATCATCATGAGTAACTGAATAGCTCCATGATTATTGGTATAAGCCCCCAGTCGAGGTTTCTATTCTGGACATTAATCCTTGGTCAGATTTTTCTGGACAAATCTTTTCTCATAAGGCTTTTCTCTTATTCTGTAGGCTTCATCTAGTAATCACTTCCTTTGATATGCAGAAGCTGTGTAATTTAGTGTAATCAAATTAAATTTGTCAAGTATTGCTTTTATTTCCTGAACCATTGGAGTATACTTTTGAAAGTCATTGATTATTCTTATGTCTTGAAGTGTTTTTCCAATATTTTCCTGAAGCAGCTTCCTAGTTTAAGGTCTCTTACATTAAAGATTTTTGATACATTTCTCTAATAAGTGTTTTGGCCCCTTTGTTGAGAATCCAATGGCTGTAGCTGTGTGGGATCATTCCTCTTCTATCTGTTTGTTTCCCCGTCTGTTTATATGCTATGCTGCTTAGGATTCTAGAGTATAATTTGAAGTCAGATACTGTAATATGTTTAAAATTGCTGTTTTAGTCAGGATTGCTTTGGCTCTAATGAGTCAAACATACTGAATGAGTCACCTATTTAATACATATGATCTAATGGTTTGGGGTAAATTACATATTTAACTTTTGTATTTTTTTTTTGCAGAGCTAAAGAAAGACTTCAGGGCCTTGTACTCACCAGGCAAGTGCTCTTCCACTGAGCTAAATCCCTACTTCTTTTAATTTTTAATTGTGTTAATCATTATATAAAAAAATAAAAGTGACCACATTAAACACTTAACATATACAATTCCTTAAGTGATTATATTTACAAATATCACCACCATTTCTATCTAAAATCTATCGTCAGACAAAATATAACATTAATCATTAATCCTCTAGTCCCTGGTGACTGCTAATCCATGGTATGCCTCTGTGAACTTACTTATCCAAGATATTTTATGTAAGTCGAATCATACATTTGTCCTTGTGCATCTGATTGTTTTCACCTACCATAAAATCTCCAGGCTTTATGCATGAAATTTACTGTTTCTTGATTAAGAAGTATTCAACTATATTTTAAATTGTAATTTTTATCCATTTATCTAATGAACACTTGTGTTATTTTCCTTATTTTGCTATTGGGAACAATGAGATCATGAGAACAGAGTCCAAATATCTGCTTAAGTACCTGCCATCACCTTACTCACCTTTTCTACTGGATATCCCTTCTCCCACTGATACCTGGCCCCAACACAGCCCATTTTACTTTCCTCGTTGCTTTTTTTCATTTTTTTATGATATAGTAATTGTGCAAATAAGTTTTAGCATGGTATTTCACACATGTACATATTATATTTCAGTTAAATAACCCTCCCTGCTGGTCTCCCTTTCCTTATCCCCCACTCCTCAACAGCTTTCACTGAGAGTCCTTAGACCTATTTTGAGTTTTCTTAAGGAAACTTCTTAGCACTTTCCATATAATTTACATTTCCACCACCTTTCTTCTTTATCTTTGCTAACACCTTTTATCTTTTGTCTTTGTGTGTGTGTGTGTGTGTGTGTGTGTGTGTGTGTGTGTGTGTGTGTCCATCCCCTGGGGCTTGAACTAGGGGACTAGGAACTGTACCAGAGCTTTTTTATTCAAGGCTAACACTCTACCATTTGAGCCACAGCACCACTTCCAGTTTGGGTGGTTCATTAGAGAGAAGAGTATTAAGGCCTTTCCTCCCTGGGATGGTTTGAAACCAGAATCCTCGGATCTCAGGTCCTCAGATCTCAGGCTGATACTAAACTTCTTACATAGCTAGGATTGCAAATGTGAGCCAAGAGCACCCAGTTCTCTTTTGTCTTTTTCACAAACATCATTCCAGCTGCAATGAGGCAAGCACTTAGATACAGTTTGAGAATAATTAGTCATGATGATATTTTCATATAATATTGACCATCTGTCCATTGACCATTTGTTCACTCTTTGGAAGTATCTATTTAGGTATTTTGTCTATATTTTAGTCAGATTATGCTCTTCCATATTCCAGATATTCAGCATTTATCAGCTGCATAATTCATATTTTCTCCCAGTCAATAAGTTGTCTTTTATTCTGTTGAAAAAGGAAAACAGAAAAGGAAATTTCCTTCGTGATTTTTGCTTTACAAATTGTTGCAATATCATTTTTGTTGCCTATATTTTTTCACTCGCCTCCTAATTCTCCTGTTACCTGTATTTTTATAAAAATCATTGAAACCGCAGGGCGCAGGTGGCTCACGCCTGTAATCCTAGCTACTCAGGAGGCTGAGATCTGAGGATCGCGGTTCAAAGCCAGCCCGGGCAGGAAAGACCATGAGATTCCTATCTCCAATAAACCACTAGAAAACAGGAAGTGGCGCTGTAGCTCAAGTGGTAGAGTGCTCGCCTTGAGCTGAAGAGCTGAGGGTCAGCGCCCAGGCCCAGAGTTCAAGCCTCATGACAGACAAAAAAAAAAAAAAAATCATTGAAACCTGCTGCAATTGTTTTAAGACAAGGGGGGGGGGTAAAAGGCAATCATAGAGGGAAAGTTTGAGAGGGTATATTGTATGCATATATGGATGTTACAATGAGACTCTCCCTTGTGAAACTAATATATTCTAATAAAATGTCTTTTCAGAAAAACTAAAGATAGATATACCATCCAGTCTACTTCTGGGTTTATATTCCATAGCAAAAAAGGCAAGGTGTCAGGTTACAAATATAAAAGCCAAATTATCTGAGCAGGTAGTTTTGGATTTCATGATTACTATCAATGTTAAGTGGATGTCTTCCCATGACCTAATATCCATATTCTATCAGATATTTCTGATTATTTGTTGAAAAGATAAAAATTCTCTGGCTTAGTTTACTGATGGATTAGTGGGTAAGTTGTGGCAACCATGTTTGAACCATGTCTCACATATGGACAGCAATGAAGCAGACTGGTAAAGGAAAATCCTTACAATTGGTGGAGTTTTGAATAGCATCCTTTCTTTACTTCATGTGGAAAAGAGATTGTCTTAAGTAAGTAGTTGTACAGATCCTTAGGTACTTTTTAAGGGTAAAAAGTCAGTAAGACTGGAAGAAGGGATTAAACAAAGCCCTGAGAATTTGCATGAGATAGAAACATTGAAATAAACAGAAAGGGTGAAGATATATAACATTAACTACCAGATAGTACCACAGTAACTCAAAAACTGGGTACAAACTACCTATGTATAGATATCAGTCACTAAGGATCTCTGTTATCCCCCTAGTCAACCTATGATTCAAGTTATAATGGCAGATATAGAGATAAAAATGACCCAAAAGTGAGAGTTCCCTTAACCAAGTCTAAACTTGATAAAATATTTGGAAATGAGTGTTACCCTCATGCCTGGAATGCTAGTAATATTGTTAACAACCTCAAATGTTCATCCAATAGGAACAGAAACTGAAATTGACCACTTCATACCCATTTTATTCCTGCATTGGCTCTGCACATGATAAAGGGCATTACAGGTCCATCTGTCAAGAATCAAGGTCAAATTACATTGATATTTACTGATAGGATCATTGACACTTAGTATCTATTCAGCAAGGTGACAATTTTAAAAGAATGTAATTGAAATAAAATTCAAGCTCATTAAAAATTATTTTTGTGTCATTAAGAAAAGAATAATTGGTTTATTTAGGAACACTTCCATGTTAAAAATAGACTTTTCTTTTTTCTCTTTTTTTATAATTTTTATTTTATTTTTTTTAATTTTAATTTTTATTTTTTGTGAACATACTGTACAGAGGGGTTACGATTACATGGGCAAGATAATGAGTACATTTCTTTCAAGCATTGCAGCCTCCTCCTTTGTTTACCCTAAAATAGACTTTTCAAATTGTCTATAGAGCCTGAACTGTTACTTCATACATCTCTGATGATGGTTGAAACCACAAATGGTTTGTTTACAAATGTATCACCTTATAATGAAAATAAATCCATAATTTAGATGGCATTGTTAGAAACGTACAGGCAGTCTAAGTTTAAAAAAAATAGTCATACATCCTATCAAGTACATAGTGTGGACTCCTGGAGGCCTATGTGGTAATTTGGGTAGAAGCATTCCATTCTCCCTAAGTATGTAATCCTGCATGCTCTGCCCAGTCTGAGAAAACTGCTGATTAGACATGGCTTTGCCTCTGCATTAACACCTTGATAATAGCTTTCCGAATCTGCTTAGTCTTGACACTGTAAATGATAGGGTTGAGCACAGGAGGAATGAGTAAGAAGACATTGGCCATGATGGTGTGGATAAATGGCGGGGCTGAACGGCCATAGCGGTGGACAAGGGACAGGCTGATGAGAGGAATGTAGAAGATGGCCACAGCGCTGATATGGGAGATGCAGGTATTGAAAGCTTTCTGCCTCTCCTCCGAAGAAGCAATGCTAAGGACAGATCGGATGATCAGGATATAGGAGAGTAAGATACAAGGACAATCAAATCCTGTAGTGGAGAACAGGGCAAAAAGCCCAAGGATGCTGTTGATTCTGTTGTCTGAACATGACAGCTGAATGAGATCAACATGGTAGCAGTAAGAGTGTGAAAGGACTAAAGAACTGCAGAAGGACAGCTTCTTGACAAAGAGCACAACAGGCAACATGACAGCGACATTTCGTATCAGCACAGTCACCCCGATCTGTGCAATCCTGGTATTGGTAAGGATGGTGGTATATCTCAGTGGGTCACAGATGGCCACAAAACGATCAAAGGCCATAGCCAGCAGCACCCCAGACTCCATGAAGGTAAATCCATGGAGAAAGAACATCTGAGCAATGCAGACATTTAAGTTGATCTCTCGGGCATCCAACCAAAGGACACCAAGGGTCGTGGAAAGTGTGCATAAGGACAAGCTCAGGTCTGTGGCTGAGAGCATGGAGAGGAAGTAGTACATAGGTGCGTGGAGGCTCGGCTCACAGAAGACCACCAACAGAATCATGCTGTTTCCAGACAGAGCGATGACATACAGGAGACAGAAGGGAATAGAGAACCAGACCTGGTCTGCTCTCAGGCCTGGGATACCAGTCAGGAGGAAGATCACAGGCTGAGCACTGGTGTTATTGAGGACCAACATGGTGAAGGACTGAGAAGACAAGGATGTGGGAATAGTTGAACATAACACACTATGTATAGCTTATCTGGTACCACATTCATTCAAGTAGTATTGCTAACTCTTGAAAATCTTTGGTTTCTTTTCTTTTCTTCTTAAGCTACAAGCTTCCCTTCAAGTTTCCCTGTTATATATTGACTAAGAAAAGAAAATTACCTGAAACATTCCACATCAAATCAAGTCAGTCTTTCTCTTTAGTGGCAAAACATCAGAGTAAAATCACTGTAATCACTCTCACTACCTGTATAACTAACTACCCATAACATAGCTACATAATATTATGAGAAACCTAGCTTGAGTACTCTTGGGAAAACAAATTGCACTGAGCATTAGACCTTCCTCAGAAATATCCAGAAGAATGTCAAAAATAGCTTTGAGATACTTATGTCTATGTGTGTGATAATAGGATGGCTCTTTGAATTCCAGTAAGGGAAATAGATACTGGTTTCATGTGTTGAGCATTCTCCATGCGTGATTGAACATTTACACAGGCTGGATAATTTTATCCATGTCAGTATCACGTGTGCTTTAAAGATGAGGCAATAAGACTCAGCAATTTAATAATTCTATAGCTTCAAAACAACCTGCCTACTTATCAAGAAAACATTGTCAATGTACAAAAAAAACCATAAGATCAAGAATAGAGAAAGAGAGACAAAGGAAAAGGAGTAAAAAGAGGACAGAGGAAGTAACATGAAGGGTGTAAGAGAGGGAGGAAGACCATTTATTTTTAACAGAGTGCAGTATGCATTACATTATGATAGTATCACCGGCTACTTTGAAATTTAGAACACCATAATTCACAGTACTCCATGAGCATAGATCATATGCTCAGTACATGCAGGTACAGTCTTCTCCATAACCATAATCTGATTCAGTCATCACTGCTATGAAAGAAGCAAAAAAATTCTTATTTCTAACATTGTTATTCCTAAAATTCTTATTTCTAATATACAGGGGAAAACTGAAGTTCATGTACATAATGTACATATATATCTGACCCCAGCTACTTTCATTGATCAGAGCTGAGGAACACATACAAGGAATCTCTCAGCCTGGCTGAAACATATTCCTGACAAGCAGTTTTCACTTTTGTGTTTTTACAGAGATATTTCCTGGTCAGTGTGGTGTATTTGGAGTAGAGTCTATATATCAAGTGTAATTGCATATGAATCACACAGAGATGAAGTTCATTAAGATTCTCTGAACACTCACCTTAATACTGGTGGTGTCTATATGCAGAGCTAGACTTTATATGGGGAAAAAACTGCCAAATCTAGTTGACTCATGACAATGACTATACCATTTATCCAACTCTTCAGTCTTTGCTGACTGATGGTTCTTTCTGGGGAATTTCTCTTCCATGTACTGTGTGACATTCCTTGTCATTATGTCTCTCCTGCCTCTCTTTTCTCTCTTTGTCTGACTGACTTGGGCTTGACTTTTAGTTTTCACTTGATACACTTACATTCTTTTATGGTCTCCGGATAATTTACCCTCTACCCATCCACTCTCAAATCAATTACAATACCTTGCCCATTTTCATGGATTCAGCCTATATAATGACAAATTTCAAATAAATATCTGAATGCCAGTTCTGGCTTCCAGGATCCAGACATGATGTTAAAACTCATTTGGGGCATATTTGTGTTTATGCTCATATGTCCTCTGCCAAAACATAGCATTGTAATTAAAATGATTGACATGATTTTATGTATAATATCAAAACTCTCTTCAACATTTTATGAGACAGTAACACAAAGAAAACATGTCGTTCTAGAAATGAAACATGAAAGCATGTATTTTATTTGATACTTTACTATAAAAATAATCTAAAAGATTAGCCTATGAATCATTACAATTGCCCTAAGTAGCAAGATAGTAGATCACTAAAAAAAAAAAAAGCTTTTCCTGTTTGCAAAAATTCAACACTGAGAAAAATTTTATAAAAGTGAGGTTTTAGGTAGAATAACCATTTTACACTATAAAATATTCACACTGAAAAATATGTAAATAAAATGATTATTTTGTAGCAGAGGAATTTCTGTACAAATGTATTAAGAAACTTTAAGAATTGCCTTTATTCCTTAATGCATTTACTATAAAAAGGAATTTTCTATAAGTAGATGTTGACTCAGCCATTAACTAGCACATAAATTTGAAACATTAATAATGTTTATATTTTTATTAAATAAACTCAAATAGAGCCTACAGTACATTAACTACTGTAAATGTGCAAATATATTCAGCATTATATAGAGAAAAACAACCAGAGGGTATTTGTGCTCTAAAGCTCATAGAACAGCTCAGGTGTAGCAATGACCACTCCGGCCATCACATCTCATTTGTAAGCATTTCTTTTTAAGTACTAAGGAAGTTAGTTGGTAGATTAAATTAATGCAGATCATGCTTGCAGGTTTAGATTCGTTTGGGAAATGCTGAAACTTTGAAATCAGAGCTCAGCCCAGATCAAACAATTCTAATACGTGGATCGCAGGTTTGTCCCATGTAATTGTGATAAACTTGACTAGGTTTCTTGCCATTTTCATGATGATCTGTTGTTTGGCTGAGGGTAAAGGCTTTAGACACAGGAAGCTTCAGCACTAACTATATATTGCTGTATTTTGTTGGCATAAATGGTGGATAGTGGAATGTATACTTATTCTGGCAGGGAAAAGAATAAAGATGATGGTAGAAAGTTTTGCTCCTTCATTGGAGGTAGGAACTTGGCAACTCATTCCCATCTTTGGTCCCATTACAAGTGAGCCCTGGACTTTAAAAATAGTCTTGTTCTTCTATTCCTAGTTGTTTCTATTATGGTCAAAAATGTTAAGATTTATTTGAGGTAAATCTTTCCCAAAATGAATGACTATTCTGAAGAGAGCCAGAAGGAAATTCAGAATACATGATCTTGAAAAAAATCGAATTGATACCAAATGAAAGTACTCAATTTATTTCCTAACAAATAACAATGTAGAAATCGCCTTAATGTAAAAGTTGAGTGAAACAGCAGAAATAAAATGTACAATAATGTCACATTTAATACTACCCAGACTCACAGAATCTACGCAACTTCATGGACTGCACTCACTGTTTTCTCCTGGAAAGAAATATATGTTGACAAGCATCTGCCGATATTCCTTAATTCCCACAGCCTTTAACATTCGCCCATTCCTCTAAACTTCTCTTTCACCGCTGATCTATAATCCTTCTGTTCTAGGCATCTGCCCTTCCAGTCCTCATTCTTGTTTCTCTCCTCTATACCTTTTCTCTAGTGAGACTTCAACACTCTCCCTCTATGGGCCTGGGCTTTGTGCCCTTACTGTCTTACCAACAAAGGGAGAGATGCTCTTCCCACTTGCTCTCCAGCGAGTGACTCTGGTGCCTCCTGGACTCAGTTCTCTATAAGAACCTCAGCATGTAATGCAAACCTGCTGCCAAGAACCTCCTGGGACTCTAGCTAGGTGTGATGATGAGGATTTCCCAGGGGATTCCTCATACTAACTGAAACACAACACAAAGTAAAAACTAAGGCTTTCACAATTAGTCATAGACTAGTTTTGAGTCAGCATTCACAGTCATGAACCATAAAAAAATCTAAAAGAAGCAGCAAAGTGGTTACAGAAGCCATTCTTCAGAGTATAATATAGATGCTGTCTTTCTGGAGAGCTTGAGTTTTAACTTACAGGACATCAAGCTGTCACATCGTGTATTTTAACCAAAGAATTCTGGGAAAATTCAGAGAGGAGACTTGTCCTACTGGTACTTTCAGGAAAAATAAGATTCCACAAGAGTAAAGAAGATACTGAAGGTTGCAGCTGCTCTTAGATCTATGAGAGAAAAAAATCACAGCAATAATGGTTATGATGCTATAAAGAATAAAACAAGTAAAAGGAAGACTAGCAAGATAAAGAATAAAAAAAGTAAAAGGAAGACTAGCAAGATTCTGGCAGTTAACTTGCTCCTGATATATCTCTATCTTTTTCCATCTCTCTCTTTTCCCCCAAATCTTGATTTGTTCAATTTCTTTTAATTTTATGTGCATAAGAAAGATGATTCTTCAGACTTGTCCACAGGCATAAAGAAAAATAATTTATTTCTTAAGATATAATTGACTTTTATGGGGTTAAAAAGAACAACTGTTAAGGTAGCATTTACTGCAGCTAATTCTCATTTGTTTTTCATTTGTGAATCTGGGCCTGTGGTTTATAAACACTATCATTAGGTAAAACTAGATAGGGCCATTTTAATTTAGGAAAAAATATGTGTTTATTGACATGAAATAAGTAGTTTCCTGTTCAGGTAATTTTATGACCACTCATAATCCCAAACCCTCTTAGAAATAGTATGCATTTGTTACTTGGTTACTTGGTTACTTTTCTTTTTTTTCTTTAAAAAAAATTTGGTGCCAGTCTTCAGGCTTCAAGTTGGGTCTTGGATGCTGTCCCTAACTTCATTTTTCTCAAGGCCAGTGCTCTACCATTTGAGCCACAACTCTACTTCTGGGGTTTTGATAGTTTAGTGGAAATAAGAGTCTTCCAGACTTTCCAGTGCTGACTTTGAGCCATGATTTTCAGCCTCCTGAGTAGCTAGGATTTCAGGTATGAGCCACAGGTGACTGGCTCTTGCAAAAGTAAAAATTCTGTCTTTGTTTTCAATAATTTCAAAATCTCAATAAATAAGTATGATATGTCATTAGGGGCAGAAGTAAATGTCACTCTGTATGAAAGTGTTTTAATGCACTTTAGGTCCTGAGATGGTAGAGTATTGGAAAACAACCCAAATGAGTATTTTTTATTGTAAAGGTGATGTGCAAAGGATTTAGATACATGATTCAGGTAGTCACCCCCCTCCCTCATTTGCTCCCAATCTTTCCCTTCTCAACCTCTCCAAGTTGTACAGTTCATTTCTAATATAGTATCTAGTGAGTATCACTGCTGAATTGGTTCACCCTTGCCCCATCA